TCAATTTATCTCCCATAGGTCAGGATAATTACATGACTATATTTCCCTTCTAGTGTAGAGGTAGCAGGCGCAGTGGCCCTTCCAGGTACTATTTTCATTGCCTGTAAGAATGTATTGGGTAAAATGAGATCCCAATGAAGTGTAGTCTACTTCGCACCAGTTGCATAATGGCTCTGACTCTCATTGAACCAATGTGTGTTTTAAGCATAACAAAAAATTAAACAAAAAACAAGCAGTGCCAATTCAAAGTGGCTTGAGTATTAGACAGGGATTGGTTGTAGTAGTGATGTGGGAGAGCATTAACAGTTAGGAATGTTGTGTGTCCATATATTGTGACTTTTTGGAAGTTTAATTCTGGAACGAAAAATGGGTTATGCAAGTTTTGTGATTCTCTGTTGCTTTCTGTTGTTTAATCTCATTTTATTATATAGATGATCCATAGTGGATCTTTCTGTGGTAAAATCCCTTCTGTGGATCGGGATGTTCCTCTTAGATACATTCTGGAAAGATTTTTCTAATATTTCTTGAACTAAATTGTCTTTACACCATCTTGGTTTTGAGAATTATTTTATTGTTTATGAATCTTTAACATGTATCCCAAAGAGGTTTCTTGCTTTAAAATATATTTTGCCAGTGATATACAAGAACACATTAATCCCAAAAGAATGTTATTGTTGCTTATTGCTAATTTCAGGGATATGACTCTGGAATCAGCGGGAACCTTTTGCATTTCCTTTCCTTGTGCAAATATACTGGATTACTGGTATTAGTCCCCTGAACATCATTTTGAGAATAAGTGCCAGTATAATGTCTTACACTAACATTGTAGAGCTGATTTTGAGATTGCAAGTAACTGGTTTATATCTGCCATTATGACATTAAATAACAATATATGACCCTCAAGTCAAGATGTTGCTAGAGTACAACTTTCAGTAACTTATACCTTTCGGTAGCCACCCCTGGTATCAGGAAGAGGAAGAAAATAGGAAGAGAAGGAAAAGGAGTACTTTATTTTAAGGTACAAGACACACAATCTCCAAATCTATTTGCTTTCTGAAATTTGCACCTCTTAAGGCAAAACTGCTGTAAGAGATTTGGGAGACCTTTCCTACATTTTGGAGTACAGCTTTCAGCATGCAATTTGAAAGCCAAGTATGGTCTCTAGCCTAAAAAAACAATAATATATGTATGATTTAAATTTCACCAAGAACCATAGTGAGTTCGAGATAGAATTTGAGGGCTATTCCCATTCTCTCCCTTCCATCCATGGTATTCCATTCAAAATCTGGACTGCATTGCAAATTTGAGTGTTTAGAGCCTTCAAGAAGGGAAAACTCAACATAGCCAAATTGCCAGTATATCTGATTCTAAGCTGAACTGGCTTTTTCTACTGTTCCATCCTGCTTCACAGATGGAAACAGTATAGAACCGTGATGGTGAATCTATGGCAGTCATGCCACAGGTGCCATGCAGAGACCACTCTGTGGTCACGTGCGCCATTGCTAGCTGCACTTCTGGGTTCTGTAGTCTTCATGCGTGAAGACCATTTGGCCAGCATGCATGCATGCAATGGAACCCAGAAGAGACCGGCTGGCAGCAGGTATGCGCACTGGCTGGCTGCTTTCTTCTGGGCTTCAGTGGTCGGCGCACACACTCCTGTGTTGGCACTCGGTGCCAAAAAGGTTAGCCACCAACCACAAGAACAGGCAGAGCCTAGGGGGTGGAGTTAAGACAGAACTCAGCCAAGAATCATTATGTGTCCACAAATCTCCAAGTCCACCGCACTGAATCCCTTTAACTGTTATCTAGCACCAATTTAGTGCTGGCCATTATTTGACCGATTCTTGTGTATAAACCTTCTGAATTAGAATTTGCATGCAATCCTGTTTCTTTCTGCCTGACAGTGCTTTGTAAAAGCATTTTTTCCTTGATGTACAATTGCACTAATATAAGCCTCTGAAGAGGAAATAGCTAATTGCAGGATAGCTAGTAGGCAATGAGAAATGTTTGACTTAAGAGTCCATTTCAGCAAAGCGGTAACACAGAGAATCAGAAGTATGTTGAAGGATGGCTTATGAGGGGGTATTTAGTATCAGAATGAAATGGAAATTGTTTATGATCAAACATTGCAGAGGATCTTGCCCATGGGGACAAGCAGAGTCTGGCTATTATGGGGAAGGGAGCAATGTGCAGAACCTAATTCTTTTTGCACTGTTGAGCACTAAAAAGATCCTTCTTTGAAAACAATTTGTTGTTTTGAACTATTCACATTTCAGCTCTATCCCATAGAATAATTGGTTCCGCAACAAAAGCAGATCTTCCATTCTTCTTCGGTTACTGTATTTCTCTGTTTCATTCTCTATGTTCAAGCAGTGTAGTCTCTGATTCTCTCACCAGCATGATCTAAAATAGAAATAATTGACTATGTACTTTCCCAGTTTCTACAGTGGTAGGACATACCTAATTTTGCTATGCCATCTGCTTTTATTTTTAGTGCTCTATTCTACTCCCCTCTATTAGTGTCAATAAACTAAAAGGCAAGGCCCCATCCTCTTTACCGAGAGGGAAGCTTGCCATCTATTCTTGATGTTTGTTAACATATTTTTGCTGCTGTGCAGTAGGGCACTAGTTCAAACGGGTGATATTCGGAACAGAACTGTAAAGGATGTTAAGTTATTTAGCAGGCTGGTACTTAAAAGCACATCCCTCATTCCTCCTTATGCCTCATTGCAGTTTCCTCTTCATTTACAGAGAAAAGAGGGAGTTGGTAAGAGCAGTGTGGATTAGCATGCAATTAAAGTTTTGTTAATTAAATGGACTAAAGCAGGGGTAGTCAACCTTTTTATACCTACTGCCCACTTTTGTATCTCTGTTAGTAGTAAAATTTTTTGACCGGCCATCGGTTCCACAGTAATGGTGATTTATAAAGTAGGGAAGTAACTTTACTTTATAAAATTTACAAAGCAGAGTTACAGCAAACTCCCCACCGCCCACCATGAAAACTGGANAGTAACTTTACTTTATAAAATTTACAAAGCAGAGTTACAGCAAACTCCCCACCGCCCACCATGAAAACTGGAACGCCCACTAGTGGGCGGTAGGGACCAGGTTGACTAAAGCATCATGAAAAGTTGTAACTGCCTCCTCTCTTTGTAATGAGGAAGGTTCTGTTTCCTCCTTAAAACAGATATGTATTTTCTTCGTTTCTCATTTGTTTTTTTTGATCCCCAAATTTGATATCAAAGCCTCTGAAGCATGCATATAATCTGCTTTCTTCAGCTTTGAATATGTTCAGATAACTATCATAGTGCCATGTTCATTGCATGGTTTGTACTGCTATGGAGGTTTAGAGAATTTTGTTTTCTGAGGTTTTCATGGGCTTTCTCTGTGCTGCTTTGCTTGTGACCCCATCTGTTCATAGTGTGCTCAATATTTTATTGAATAATTAATGATGAGGAAAACATTTTGTTCTTTTTGAAGTTTAGTGGGTTACATTATCTTTTCTTTGAATGATAGTGAATCATATACAGCTTGTCAACAGAATACAACATAGTGGCATTCATGTAATTAAATTGGCAGCTCAAAACATTGTTGCATATGGGCATGAATGGAGACAAAATGCTAAATTATTTCAGTTTCTCTGGAGTTGCCTGGCATTTCTGCCTCTCCAAGGCTTTACTGCATCTGTTTTGTCTAAACGTACTTCAGTGAACATATCCATATGTATTTTGTGCATATACAAAGTCCATTCAGTCTAATCATTGCATGATTCATGATTCCTCTTGAAGAATCTGTTATGACATTTTCTTTTCATTTTTGATGGGCTCCTACATCCAAGTTGCAAATTTGCAATTGTCATTAGATGGTAGCAAAGAGATCCAGAAAGTCTCAGGTTCTCTGCTGCCAACTAGTGGTATCGCTGATATTTACACCCCAATCTGGTAACCCTAACCCATACTTTTAAATACAGGTGACTTACAACCAGTTGCTTAGTGACCATTCAAAGTTATGACAGACAACCCCCCCCCCCAAAAAAAACCCCTCAGTTCTGAAGTTTCAGTGGCCAATCCTCTCCTCCATCGTCACCTGACTATTTGGGCAACCTGCTTGCATTTACAGTCAAATGACTGTAATTTACTTTTTTTTTTTTTTTTTACTGAAAATCTATGTTAACTTTCAATTTTCTGCAAAAATGCCCGATGGCAAACAATAGGCTTGCTTAACAACCATGGNAGATAGATAGTCAGGACAGCTCCTAATAACAATCCTCCAATACATAATGATTCCCCTCCCAAATACCAAGCCCCCCCTCCCCGTTTCAGTGGCAGCTGAAAAGCAGCAGCGAAGCAGAGGCTGACAGAGAATCTCCATAGACATTCATGAATGAGGTTTTGCTGACTTTTGAATATGAAGGAAATAAAAAGAAATATAAATTCATGTGGGTGCACCATAACTTCATAGTATTCTGTATAAGTGATATTGAGCTACACTGCCCTCTGTTGATGAACGTTCTGAATTAAACTTTAACTTAATATCAAATCAAGTTTATGTCTGTCTGTCTGTATATGTATGAACACAAACACAAATAAATAGTAAACGTCATTTTGAAAACAAAGGCCTATGAAAATAATTCTGAGAAACTGAAAACAAACTAACAATAGCAATTTCTTTATGGTCAAAAGCCAAATTTCAATTGTTTCCTCATTTGCTAGGAATAGCAATGAAAGCTATGTTGTTGTTTTTTCATTCTATTCCATCTTACTTAAAGGTCTTCATTTTTATTTAAAATTGATTTGAAAACATTTTGAAGTACTGATGCAAAAATATTGATACGGAAGTCTGCTACAAATACTTCATTTTTAATTATATTTTTAATCAAATCTATAGATAAACTACAAATAAAGACATAATGATCTGTTATTTTTAATACTTTATTGGACAGCTAAACCTTTACTCTTTAAAAGAATATTTACTAAACACTATATTTTTTTCCCTCTCAGCAGAAAGTAGATGAATTTCTAAACATTTACTACTCAGCTCCAGAAAATGCTTCAAAAGAAAGTATCTGGGATATCCAGACATTGGTTCGGTATCCTGATGGGGAAGGAGTAATGTTAACCCTAAAGCCAAATCACAAAATAAATGATGTGTTGATCCTGGCTTGCAAGGTACATTGTTCTACACCTTAATATTATCATATGTAATTACACCCATTTCCCTTAAGTAGACAATGACGCAAGCAAAATATAAGTAATTGAAAATGTAAGTATCTTCAAACAATATTTAGTAACGAACTGGTTTTGATGTAGAGATGGTAAACCATTCATTCATTCATTCATTCTATTATGACACCATCTTTCTCCAATTGCCTCTAGTGGATCAACCTCCCAGCCAACTGCTAGCAATATGCACTCCAGATAAAATAAACAATGAATAAGGGGGTAAAACTGGCCAACAGCAATATATTGCAACCACCTTGTCCCCAAATCTGGGAGAAAAGTATTTACCTTGTCACTATATCCCGGAGATAGTTTTTCTGATAATAATCTAGCTATTAAGTCTCAGAGTAGATTTTTAATCACATGCGCTTTCTATTTTGAGAAAAACAGGCAAATGTAAGATATCATAAATGACCACTAGGTGGCAAGAGAGTCCCAGAGACAAGTGGAAAAGTTTTGTGAAAGGAAATTGCCTTTAAAAAAAAATCTGTAATTGTTTGTATAATGTACCTTACTTAAGGCACTCTTGATCTTTAACCAGCACCTTACCTATAATGACTTTTTGGGGTTGTTCTTTGAAGTAGCATGAGAATGGTAGTGGGGATTTTAAAAATATTAGAAACTCTTGGTTACTAAAAGCAATAGAATTGCGCTGATATATAAACCACATGATTTATTTACGAAGATGCATATTATTATTATAGAAAGTGACACATTCAAGACCGAAGGAAGATGTATCTCTGTATCTGCTGTGATAAATATTTATACAAATAGTTCCTAAATGATAGATTTCCCCCCCTTGTCTTTTAGATTAAGCAAATGGAGCCAAGACATTATGGTTTACAACTTAGAAGGTTTATTGGTGAAAACACTGAACACTGTATCCCCGAAATGTATGAATATATTCAAGACCAGGTAATGCACAGGATCAAGAATGCAGTTCCATGATCAGAATCCTTATTTGAGGCATGATAATTTTTTCTTACAGAAAACATGGCAAAGTTTGCTGGATTTTGTAGCTGGCCAAAACAACAGGTGTAATATTTTTTGAGCTGTCCACCTTAGAATAAGGGACACCTAAGAAATATAATTTTCCAGGGACTGTATAATCTCTAATCCCAAGGAATGCTACAAACACTTCTTAATGGAATAGTCCTCTCATAGTCAAAATGGAATTAGGCACAAATAACTGATCTTTGAGATGGAGAAAAACATTAGAATCCTGGTCTTTCAATTTTGGCTTCAAGTGAATGGTTGAAATAGCCCTCTCCAACTTGGTGGCATTCCAGTGTTTTGGACTATGTCTGAAGAGAATGAACAAACACAAAACTAATACATATTGGCTGAGCAGATTGACATGTAATCCAAATTACACACCAGTCTGGATATGTAAAAGAACAGGTTGCTAAAAATTAGATGCGAGTTGTTTTAGGCACATTCTTTTTCATCTGGATAAACCACACATAGTCTTTATTTAGCATTGCAAAGGCTGTACTGAATATTTTTTTGAATTGGCTAAGGAAAGAAATTAAATGGGATGGGGACCAGAATAAAATGCATTTTAATTTGAATGCAATTAAAACTAAATCTAAATAGGCTATTTCCCCAGGTATTTTCTTTTTTTTGTCACATAAAAAAATCAAAAAATCTGCAGCAATTTTAGGAGGAGATCAGTTTTTCATTATGCCTGGAACTTTAGGCCCTAGACTAGTGATAGTGAACCTTTTTGGCACAGTGCCCAAACCGAAATGTGCGTGCATGCACATGCACATGCACTGGAGTGCTGGAAACCTGAAGACCAGCTGCCCGGCGCGCGCATGCCTGTTTTTTGGCTGGTTTTGGCCAGTTTTGGGGCCATTTTTAGGCTGTTTGTTTTTAGGCAATTTTTGGGCCATTTTCAGGATTTTTTTGTTTTTCTGCCAGAGTGCCGAAAAACAGCCTGACAAATGGCCACAAACAGCCTGAAAATGGCCTGGAAAACGCCCCCAAAATGGCCTGTTTTTGGGGGCGTTTTTGGCTGTTTATAGGCTGCTTTTTGGTACTCCAGCGTGAGGCGTTCATGTGCACGCTAGAAACCAGAAGAGCAGCTGCCAACGGCATGTGTGCCCACAGAGAGGGCTATGCGTGCTACTTCTGGCACCTGTGCCATAGGTTCCCCATCGTGGCCCTAGACCTTTTTATTAAGTTAAGGTGAGGCACAACTCCATTTAGAGATGAGAAGTTCTCACTACTCTTTCTGATATTCACTACAGTCTGCTAAAGTGGCTAGTGATTCTAATTTCTGCGAGGTTTTTAACGCCTTCTTAATTTATTGCTGCACTGTTACATTAGGAGCCAAAAACAGAAGTGATAAGGCAGCCGCCTTTATTCATGTATCTGTTGTCATCACATGTCAAGTGAGCTGAAGGATCTTATTTGTCTATGCAGGAGTGGGCAGCTAAAGAGAACAAAGCTTATCTCCCTCTTCCCCTGTATTTGATACTTGAGGGTTATTTTTTTTAAGTAGCGCATCCTTCATACTGAAAGTGTGACCAGGCCAGGGAGAAAATTACTTAAAGGATTAGAACTGAAGCTAGGCAATAACAGACAGAGGTGAAATTTTGCTTCTTGTCCAAATATAGATTATGGGTAGATTCTCTATCATGTTGGCTTTAATATTTTAAACGATTCTTTAATTTAATGATCATGATTTTTAAATATAAATGGCATTTTCAATGCTCTAATCCAAATTACTGTATAGTGACTGAAATAAAATTTAACAAATGAGATACAGAGTCCAAATAGAGTTGATACAATAGTTGGCAACGTTCTGCTCTTTAACACCTTCCAAAAACAGCCTTATAAAGCAACTGCTTAATGGAGGAGCTGATCGTAACAGTGACACTATTGTGCTTATTTGTTGAGTCTTGTGCATCTATCCCCAGTTCAGCTTAAGATTATACTATCTCTCCTACAGATATATGATGAAATAGAAATCTTTCCTTTGAACACCTACCATGCACATCTTACTAAGAAAGAGGGTGTAGTTGATTTTGGTAAGTCATCAGTTAATTGAATGAAGAAACTGTTTTAAATACTTGCTTTGTTGATGTGGTTAGGCCTGGAGTTCCGTTCCCTATATTGTTAGCCAAGGATATAGTGTGTCTTTGAAGTTAGACTTCTGTTTAGCTTTCATAGAGAAGATTTTGATGGAATGAAGCAGGGATGGGTTCCTGTATTGGTTTATACTGGTTTGCCTTGTGTGCATGCGCAGTTGACTGTAAATTGTTCTGCACATGCATAGAAACATACCAGCAACGGCAGAAGAGACTGGGGAACCGGTTCGAGGTGGGGCCACCCTGGTTCTGCAACCCAGGCCAAATTACGACTACCAAACCGGGAGCAACCCACCTCTGGAATGAAGTTCACAGGACCTTTGGATAAATGGAGCCAAAAGAAACTATGATAAGAATGATTTGGTTTTGAAGTCTAAGAAAGATGGCATGCCCTCTATTGAAGATACAATGTTATAAGACTACAAACAATGATATTCTGTTATTAATAATTATTTTCCAATGGCTTGCATTTTACTTCTATGTTATTTCAGATATATACAATATTAATGAGACACAATATCTTAAATAATATAAAAATATATTCTTTCTTTGGAATTGCTATTGAATACTAATACTATGTAGCTCATTTTAAGATAGTAGTAATGACTCACATTTTAAAGAAGGCAAATCTGATTTTTTTTTAATGCCAGGATTTGCAGTCACCGTCCAAGTTGATGAACATCAGCATCTTACCCATATATTTATAAGTGATGTTCTTCCTGATGGGATAGCTTACAGAGAAGGTTTGTGCTGTCTCTCTCATTTACATTATTTTCTAATGCCTACGCATGCTCTAAAATGAAAATAAGCCACCTAAAATATAAGTTATGGACAAGATACAAATATTCAAGGAAGGGTGGATGGGTGAATGGAGGGAGGAATCATTTTATCTCTTTCTCTTTTGGTGGTTGGTAGGTCTATCAAAACGTTCTTACATTCTTAGCACCGACAGGGAAAGGTTTTCGTTAAACAGATGGACAGCATAGCATTATCATAGCACAGCATAATCGATCAGTTGAATTGATATGGCAGTCTGTCTCACTTACATGTGACTCTGGGTGGTGTACACATTAAAATAAAAATACAAAATTCAACCATTAAACTTGGTTAATGACAGCTACAAACTACAATAATAAAGGGGAGGAAGAGTGTAGTCTAGACTTAAAACACTGAATAGAATAGAATAGAATAGAATTCTTTACAATTCTAATTTACACAATGGCATTTAACAGGCTCTGCACTTTCATGCGTTTCCCAAGCCCAATAGCAAAAGCATGTTTTGGGGGACTTCCAGAAGATTAACTGGATTGGGGCCAATCTCACCTCAAAGGAATGATATTCCAAGGGGCTGGTGCCATAAAAAAGCACTCATCCCGAGTCTTGCCATGGGAAGATCCTTGGCTAATGGGGCCTATAGTATGTCCCACCTGCTGGACCGGGGTCCATGCAATTGGGGACGGGTGGTCCTTCAAATAATTTGGCCATATAAGGCTTTAAAGGTCATAACCAACACCTTTAGTTTGACTAAGAAGCAAATTGACAGCCAATGCAACTCACAGCGCAGAGGTATAACGTGGAGATTTTGGAGTACACATAACTACCTATGCCACTGCATTTTGTACCAGCTAAAGCTTCTAGATACTCTTCAGGGCAGCCCCAAGTGCAAAATCCTCTTCTTCTCCCACCCCAATTCCACTCCCATATATGCTTGTTGGGTAGCCATGCTAGAGACGTGTTCTCCAAGAAGCATACCCTCAGCAAGCAGATAGCTGTGGATATGGAAAACATGTTGAGCGAAATATCATCTTCATCTGGCTGAAGTCACTGATTTCAGCAGCCCTATCCTAGACAACACATTGAGTTAAATAGAGTTTTGTCTGAGTAAATCAATTATACTGTAAGAATACTCATAGAATTTCATCTTGCCACATCAATCCATGTCTTTATGACAAGGATGATATGATCAAATGCCGTTTTTCATGGATGTTGAATCCACTCCCTCCTTACATTCCTTTATTGCCCATGTTCCCAGGGATTTTGTTCCGTTTAACTAGCTTCTTATTATTGTACTCACCGAATGAAATTATAAGCTAAAAAGGAAGGGAAGGCTTTAGAATTTTGTCTATATTTATTTGGGTGCAATGCTGAAAAAAAATGTAGGCCAGTAGGTTTTTGTGTTGGTTCACTGCCTTGACAGCTTTATTGAACAATGGAAAAGTTACTCTCCTATTGTGCTTTTAGCTCCTTTTATAACAAGCAGAATACTTTATGTAAATCTTAATTTTTGCAAAACATTTGTTAGAGTTATTATTTCATCACAATACATTCCATAAACCTTTATGTGGTAAGATTTTTTTAAAAAATCATTTCTAACAGTTTGTTACAATATGTTTTATTGTGCCCTCCTGCTGTTGTGTCTACCCTGTTTGTCTTCTGCTTTTTCCTGCTCCCAGGATTGTGTGTTGGCAATGAAATTTTGATTATAAATGGAGAATCTGTATCTGAGCTTGACCTCAGGCAGATGGAATTGCTGTTCTCGGAGAAAAGTGTGCATCTGACATTGACCACAAATCTCAAAGGCCCTAAGACAGCATTATGCTCTTCTTTGCAAGATGGCATCATTTCCAAGGAGGCAAGAAAGTTCTTGCCCCTGCAAAACCAATCACAACTCTTGGAGGAATTTCTGGATAACTTCAGAATGAATACAGCAAATGGTGAGATGATGCTTGAACTTTTACAGTGAACTTCCTGCATAAAAAGAGCACATGCAATATTTTTAATGCCATTTCAGCTTTTCCTTTTTCACTAAACTTTTAGAAGGTAATGTTAAAAACATATTTGTATTTTTATAAACAAAACCTCCAAAACAGGAGTTATAGGAGAATTAAGAATTTTAGATGAAAGATCAATTAATTAATTGATTGATTAATCACCATGTTTTCCCCAAAATAAGACCCATGCTCCAAAATAAGCACTAAGGCTTATTTTCCGGAAAACATGATTTCAGGGTGATCAGCCCAGCTGGGTGCCCAACCCCCTGGTTCGTGTACAAGAGGTGGCAAGCGCACGGGGACCAACAGTATCTGGCAGGAGCTGCAGCCCGCCGGTCCCTTGGTCAGTGCACTCTGGGGTTGCATAGTCCATGCAATGCAGGTGAGTTGATTTCCTGTCCAAGCAGCAGATGGAGGTAGAGACGCGGATAGCGATGGAGGTGGAGGCAGACCATCCCTACACGCATGGGCTGCAGGCAAGCCAAGAGACATGATGATGAGCCTCCCATGGCCGGCCCCCCACTTTATCCATTGACTTGGCTCTCCTGTGGTGCATGCAGCACATCCAGATTGTGCATCTCCCCCTGCCTCTACCTGCTGCTTGGACAGGTAAAAAACTCACCTGCATTGCAAAGGCTGCGCAAGCCCAGAGTGCATTGACCAAGGGACAGGTGGGCTGCAGCTGCTGCCAAATACCGCCGGTCCCCGCGCACTTGCAGCCTCTTGTGCGTGAACAGGAGGGTGGAGCAGGCTGTGGCTACTGCTGGACACCATCAGCCCTGCCCACGCTCGCTGCCTCCAGGTTTAAGTCCACTCGGTACAAAGCTTATTGGGTGGTATTGAGTCAGTCACTCTCTTTCAGCCTCGTGTGTCTTACAGGGTTGTGGTGTCATTAATTGAGGGGTAACCCTTAACATATGCTGCCTGGAACTTAAAGGAAAGGCAGAATATAAATGCAATGCACCAATAAATAAAACAACTTGGTCAAACAAATTAATGTTGCCATTTTCTGCTCAAAATTACAGAAAATTACATATTCAAATATTTAAAGAACGTATGGCAATACAACATATCTTGAATAACATCTGTGCTGTGACATTATATAGCACTCAGTAGATGTAGGTAAAACCAGCTTGCAGTGTTTTAAAATGAGATTTAGGTCATGGATGAGATGATGTGAAAATATCGACTGGGACAGTTGAAGTTAAGGCTGATTACCACTTTCTTTCTAGCCACTTTTCTATGAAAAATTGCTCCCCAAATCTGTTCTTCTGTTAATGTCCTAAATAAATGAGTAAAGATTTTTTTTCTCCACTGGAATATCAGTTTTTGTTGCTGATTGACTGAATATAATCCACAAAGAGAGGGCTGAGCAGCCTTTTGTATAATCCTTCAGTAAAGTCACACAATTCATGGTGACTTGGTCTGTATTTTTGTTTTGAAATCATCAGGTTCCTACATCACTAGGCACAAGTATCGCTCATTAAATGTGCAGCTTTCCTTGGTTAAGCATAATTGAAATTTGTCTTTTTGGGGGCAAATGATTCATAATGCTGACACAGCTGAAGCATTTTGCAGACTAATTTAAGTACATTGTGTCATTTTTGTCAGAGTTTGTTACAAAAATCTAATCCAGAAAGCAGATAACTGACTCAGCAGGATTGATTTAAATAAGAAATTTTTATATACAAGAATGAATATATACATATACATATACATACATACATACATATACACGCACACACGCATACACACACGCATGCACACACGCATGCACACATACATACATAGACACATACACATACAATACCAACAGCGGAGAACAGTTTCATTTCAGTTCAGATCAGCAGACAAGTCCAAACTAATTTCGTTTCAGAGCTTAATACAGCTTAGCCATGGCCAGACTTCTTACTTAAGTTTCTGTTTCCAAATAAGCCTCATTGGCTGACCTGTTACCTGTCTCTGCCAGTTCATGAATATTCTGACAATTTTGATACTTTTTCAGCTGAAACTTGAAAATGCTTTCTAGAAACATTTTGTTTCCCATATAATAGTAGAACAAGTAATGTAACTGATTTTTGGGATGGAAGTACAGCATCCAAATTGCAAGAGGTAATTAGCTACGTTCAGGCAGTGACTTGAATGTGCAAATGGTTCTTGTGCTGGAAAACATGGGCTTACCCTGGTTTTTTTCCTGTCCTCACACAATGGAGGAGGACTTCTGAAACGGAGTGGTATTTGCACTCCCTTGAACATAGTTATTCCATCAGGCAAAAGTCTGGTAAAGATATATTGTTCTGTTCTACTCTTTCGTGACCAGTTAGTACAGTTGCTGTGTCCAATTTTGTAGTGTATGCAGAATATTTTGCAAACTAGTCCTTGAAGCAAGGTTAAAACTATACTTCATTTATAGAAGAGAAGATTTAGTAGAAGGGATGCTAGTCATCTTACACAAAAATGTTTCAGCAGACACTCTTTCTCTGGAAATATTAAACAGATTCTGACAGGGGTGTCATCATTGCAACTTCTTACATTGAGCAGTGTTAGATTTGTTGCGTCTAAGCTCCATCCCCATACTAAAATGCAATTATTCTTTTGTAGTGCTAAATGTAAAAAATCACAAGAGAGAGGTTCTTGGATTGATAATTATAAAGCAGCTTTATTAGGTCATGTTTAAAATAAAAAATTGATTGCAAAACTTAGCATACAATAAGTAGCATTTATCTCATAAGACTGTTCCACTTAAATGAAATTGGAGTATAAAAGCGCCTGCCATAAAGTTAAAATTATGGAGCTAATAAATTATAGTTCATTATTTAGGATTTATACTCAGTTTATTAGTTTGATACAATAGGCAAGTATTACCTAGCATATTTACCATGTTAAGAGCACCTGCTGTATAACTAGTGATGCTGATCTTCTAGAATACATTTTATACTTTTTATTTTATCTCCACATATAGTGTTATAAAAATCCTATGGGTGTCTGATTTAAAGAGAAGCTGAGGTAGACATGTGTACCATGAACTAAAGGCAAGAACAGTGATTGGGAATGTACATTTGTTAAAAAGTCACATTTATTAGATTAATTTAGCATATAGCAAATGCTTCGGCAAATGGTTATAATAGAAACAAACCCCAAATGGGTTTCTGTTTTTCCTGCTCATATTCTTCCTCAGTTGCAGCCCTGGTTAATTTGAAGTGACCTATTGGCCTAATTATTATAATATAACTTTGAAAATATTGATTTTGATTAATAGTATCCTGATACTCTATTCCCATTTTCTAAGACTATATCCTTAGTTGGCGAAAATGCAAGAATTCCCATTTCTTGATCAGAACAATAGCAATAGCGCTTACACTTATATACCGCTTCACAGTGCTTTACAGCCCTCTCTAAGCAGTTTACAGAGTCAGCATATTGCCCCCAACAATCTGGGGCTTCATTTTACCAACTTTGGAAGGATGGAAGGCCGAGTCAACTTTGAGCCTGGTGAGATTCGATCTGCCAAACTGCTGGCAGCTGTTGACCAGCAGAAGTAGCCTGCAGTACTGCATTCCAACCACAGCGCCACCACAACTCTCAAGATATGTTTACCTTTGATGTTTCTAATTATGACTACCAGATGTTTTTAAGAAGCTTAAAAGGCTATTAGGGCAATTTTTCCTATCAGACCTCTGAGAATTCAGCCTATGTTGTAGCAAAGAGGAGATATTTCCTTTTTGTTTCCAACTTTTATTCTCAATCACGCAGTAAATTACAAAAAGTGTATGAAAAAAGATTTGTTTGTAACAAATACATGGTTAAATATAAGGTCATTTCTCTATTCACATGCCAAAGGAATTATTATCACTCTTAAAATATGTATTTGTTTGTGATAGAGATAATTAGTGAAGGATGCATGAAGGAGAAGTAAGACTTCATAATAGGCATAAACCATTTCTTGGTACTGTCAAAAGTGGATCTTGGAGGAAAAAGAGACAGGGCAGAAAAGGAAAGAAATTTAAAACACTAAAAGAGGCGGAAGAAAAGAAAAAAATATGAAACAAACTAGAGTGAAACTAGAATAACATGGATGCAAAAATATATGAACATATACAGATAGTCCTTGATTTACAACAATTCATTTAATGACTGTTGAAAGTTATAACAGCATTGAAAAAAGTGATTTATAACCCTTTTTCACACTTCCGACTTGCAACACCCCCATGGTCACATGATCAAAATTTGGATGCTTGGCAACTGATTCATATTTATGACGGTTGCACTGTCCCATGGTCATGCTATCGTTTTTTGTGATCAACAAAAGTTGGTGTGGAAAAGCCAGATTCACTTAACAACCATGTTACTAACTTAATTGCAGTGATTCACTTAATCACCTGTGCAAAGAAAGGTCATAAAATGAATCAAAATTGACTTCAAAAATAGCAATTTTTGGCTCAATTGTGGTCGTAGGTTGAGGACTATTTGTATTAAAGAATAAATTCACATTCAGGATGGTGGATTCAGTTTGCTCACCAGCTACCTATTTCCATTTTTGAAGATGAAAATATAATGTTANATTCCACTTTGCATTTTAGACATCTGTGATTCTGGTTAAATTCTGCTCTTGCTGGTCAAAATGTTCCTTCTCAGTAGTTCTATAGATTCTATAGCAGTGGTGGGATTCAATTTTTTTTTATTACCGGTTCGGTGGGCGTGGCTTGGTGGGCGTGGCTTGGTGGGCGTGGCTTGGTGGGCGTGGCTTGGTGAGCGTGACGGGGAAAGATACTGCAAAATCCTCATTCCCTCCCCAATCCTGAGGGAAGGTTACTGCAAAATCCCTCCCCACCACACTAACCTGGGAACTTTCCAGCTCCGTTCTCCTGTTCAGGGCAACAAAAGATCAGCTGGGAGGCTGCTGGGGCCTATTTGCCGGTTTTCTGAACTACTAAAGATGTCCGCTTCCAGTTCTCCAGAACCTGTCAGAACTGGCTGAATACTACCTCTGTTCTATAGGTGGCTTATAGATTTGCTTGACTGCAGCAAATTTTCAGGGGATAAAGAGAATGCTCAGTAAAGTTCAGGTGCCCTCCTGTTTTCATTTCAAGCAAAGAATTCCTATCAACTTCCATTCCTTCACCTGTTATGTCTTTTCTGAAGGGCCCTAAAATGCCACCATTTGAAATAAGCTGAAGTGGGTGGCTAATTGCTGTCTAGTAGACATCACTAGTTTCTTTGCATTGAAAAAGTAATCGATTCCGTACAGGTTGTCCTTGACTTAGAACAGTTCATTCAGTGACTGTTCAAAGTTACAACGGCACTGGGAAAAGTGACTCATGACCATTTTTCATACTGAGACCGTTGCAGCATCCCCATGGGCACGTGATCAAAATTCAGATGATTCACAGCTGACTCATATTTATGACAGTTGCAGTGTCCTGGAGTCATGTGATCATCTTTTGCGACCTTCTGACAAGCAAAGGCAATGGGGAAACCAGATTCACTTAAAACTGTGTGTCTAACTTAATGACTGCAGTGATTCACTTAACAATGGTGGCAAGAAAGATAATAAAATGGGGGGAAACTTAGCAAATTAATTTAGCAACATAAATTTTGGGCTCAATAAGTCAAAAACTACCTGTATGCACAGTCTTCACCTGGGTACATTTTGAGGCATATATGTTACCTGAAAATATCTGTAATCAATCTTGGATCCCTTTTCATGGATTTAAAATAGCTCTATGTTTCTTTTAGGATCAGTGTTCAAGTTCAACACCTTTGTGCCATGAAAATCCCAATACATAGCTCTCCGTCTTCACTTTTAATAATCTGTTGGAACCTGTCTAAAAGGTCACAATCTGTTCTTCATCATGGTGCCAGTTTCCTTGCTTAAATTAAAATGGAGATTGTTGCATTGTGTGTTTCGTTGCCTCTGTATTTTTTTAAACTGCAGCATGCTAATCAATATATCATCTAAAGACGAAGGAAACAGACTTTCTATCTCAAGAATTTCAAATGCCTTTGTGGTTTGTCCCATATGCCTAGAATTAATACCAAATTCCGATGAATGGCTATACCCTAAAACAAAATGGTAATATGGATATAAATAGTAAGCTGACTTCAAATATTTTTCCTTTACATTGATTGGTTAGGATCGTTGTAAGAAAGAGTAGGAAAAAGATAGACAAAAGTCCACCTTCTCTTCCTCAGAAGACACGTAATCGTGTGTGCATGTGCATGGGTGCACATAGAAGCTTGGTAGGATTGTTCACAATGTATTATGGTTAATGTTAGAATCCTTTGTCTTGGATAATGTAAATACTTTTAGTAGGACATCTAGAGACATCTAAGAGTGGAGAAGTGGTTCCACTTGGATGAACGTCCAGCTAAAGCTGCATGATTGATAACCCTACAATTTCTACAAGTGAAGTGACTGTCCTTTTGTCAGAAAGTGCCCATTAGAGCCATTTGGCATGACCCTTCTTCAGCAGTGTGTGTGTGTGAGAGAGAGAGGGGGGGGGAGAGGAAGGGAGATGGGTGGGGAGTTATAAAATGATAATTGCTGTAGCAATCATGTGAATGAAAGCCAGGGAAAAAAATGCATATCTTCCATTTTTAAAAACAAAACATTCTCCCTGTTATAAATACCCATAAGACTTTTGCAGCAAAATGCTTCTGAAAAATGCTTGATTTCTGTCCTATTTCCTACTGATGTCGGATTTCCCTGGATGCATTTTTTCCCCAAAGTATAGTGGCAGAGGAATCTTTGTCATTATGTAATATTGTAAAGTGTGGGGCTCTGTGGAAGTGCAGTGTGGAGAAGAGGGGTGGTGACGCCAGGAGTTTTTCAGTGCAGATTGGAAGAGCAATCAGTTCAGGGAGTCTTTCGTGAAACGGAGATTGCAAGCTATGCTCAGCTCTTAGCAGACAACAGCTTGAGATAACTGGGCTTGGAGGGAGCAGATTCTTTTTCCTTTTTATATGTAAGTGAGGAAATAGACATCCTATTTCATCTAAACTTCACAAGTGCATCTGTTTGTCTATGTATATAATGCACACTTATGTTTGATGATGTTGCTACCTTTCTTGGAAGCTGTATTGTATTCTGTATTTTAAAACTTAAGCAAAGT